AAATGCACTGAAAGACACTGGTGGAAAAGCCCATGTAAGAGAGGGCCATAAAGGTGAATTATGTGAGACCGCATTATTAATTAGGCACACTGATTAAACATTCTGGGACTTCTGTCAGTAGAAAAGGCATTAGGGAAAATAAGGAAGATTTGTAAAGAAAGAAATTAAGTCTTTGGATTTGATATAATCACGACCTATGATCTTTCTTTAATCCAAGAGAGCCTTGGATTAAGGACCAGACAGGTATTTCCCCCTTTGATGTGAGGGAGTTCAGTATGCCTACTCTACAAGAAATTCTCAAAAGGTGCTGAGCATTAGCAGGAGGTTTTTTCCACAGGCAACTCAGCTGCCTATAATTACCTGAAGAAAAATTTGTCCTCTCCTCCTTCCCTAGTCCCAGGGCTCTGATCACATTTTACATTTGTGCCGGGGACTCCATTTTGGAGCCATGTGACATTTACAACACACAGTCTGAAAAACACTGGATCTGAGATTTGGCACAAGCTTGCTGAAGGTTCACTGAAAGGTTCACCAAAAGGTTTGTGACTCTTCTCAGCACAACCAGGATCAAGGTACAGTTTGGCACTGCATCTTGCAGCTTGGGCAAGTAAAAAATATGATCAAACTTGGAAGCTTTGACCAAGATGCATTCTGAGAGTTTCAGTTCAGTTTAGGCACAAGCTCAGTTTAGGCTGGAACAGAGAGCAGCCAAAGGATCTGCACTCTGCATGGCAAAGGGCTTGGCTCAACACAGGTGACAGGGACTCACAGCAGACCTGGCCACTACCAGCACAGAGACAGCCATGGGAACATCAGCACTGCAGGTCAAATAGGGAGTCACCTCTGAAGCAAATCCCCCACAAGTCCCATCACCCATGCAAGTGATTTGCAACTTTGAGCTGCCTTAGAGCTTGCAAATGAGATTTTCTCTGGAAGAAACTGCACAGCAGACCATGCTTGAGGAGGACACTCTGTGCATTCTCCACATCCATGGGATCACATATAAACTAGTCCAAAATAACACTCCCCCATCCCTCAGTGCTATTGCATGGGTGCCAGGTATCCAGCACCACCTGAGCCCCCTCCAGGTCTGCTCCTCCCAGCCCACTCTGCCACAGCCACCAAGAACTGGGACTCTGCTGCCCAAGAATTGGAATGCAGAGGTACAGTAGTACCTGATTATTTGGGATATCTGTTTTTGAGCACCATCTGCTGGATATTACAACTCTTAATCCCCTCCAGGCCGGAGATGCTGGCAGGCTGCCTGTGATCACCCAGCGGGGGTGTGGAAACAGGAGCCTGACCCAGGCACCCCCAGGATGCCCTGGCATACAGTGTGCCAGTGTACTGTGTGAAGGCACCACAGTGGATAAATCAGTGTCCACTGAAAACAATCAGAGCCCAAAGAGACATCCACCACCAAGAAAAGTCAAACCCAGCATGAGCCTTCCCCACATGACTGAGCTGCTAACAACTGACTGAATCTGAATGAAACACTCTGCTGAAAAAAGATGCCTATGAGAACACCTAAAATGCACTGCTCCCCAAGAGGATGGAGCTGCACAGGCTCTGATGATGGAACATCTCCTGCAGCTCTGACCTGCAGAGGTCACCTGTCCACCACAACGCTGGAGCAGATGGCTGGCAAAGAGTAACACAGACAGGGGAGACAAGATGGGCAACTGTCACCTTGAATCTACAGTCCACAAGGAAAAAGCCAGCAGCCTCATATCCTACATTTCAGCCTTCAGGTGGTTAGAAAGCTGTGGCCACTTCTGATCCCAGTAATCATTGAATGCAGAGATGTTCAATGCAAGGCTTAGGCAGTGACTCCTCTAAGCTAGTGTCCACTGCCAGATGTCTCCCAGGAAGACATTGGAGGTTTATAGGGCCAGGAAGAGCTTTTAACTGGCTACAGCTGGAAGACTGTCCAGGAGAAGGAAGCCCCACACACCTTCTAAATGAGCTAGAATAAAATTAATAAACTGTGTGCAAGATTTTTATCCATATATCTAATCCTTTCTGCATTCTACTATGTTCTCAGTCTCAATTATTTATGTGCTGTAACAAAAAAATAAGCTTCCCGTGTGTCAGATGTTTAATTTCAATTTCATTGGAAACCTTGTATTACATAAAAGTATACACAGGAATGCCTGGTTTACTTCTCTGTACTTCTAAGTTTATATACTTCTGTCATGTTGCTTTTTATTACTATTCACTCTAATGAAGGATGCATAGTCTTTTTCAGTCTTTCCACACCTCCAGGCATTTTCATCACCTTGTTCTGTTAAATATTTGTAGCAGGGTGATCAGAAATGAACTCATGATATTTTATTTTTAAGACCAGAGTCCCAGAGAACCACTTGTAGGGTGATCAGAAATGAAGGCATGCTATTTTATTTTTAACACCCAGAGAACTGCTTGCCTTTCCACCAAGGAGATCCCACACACCCCCAAGGCCAGCGGGCTCCTCCTCAGCCAAAGCCAGGGGAGAAACAGAGGAAGCAGGGCTTGATAGGGGCTTGGAACACAAGCTGTATGAGGAATGTTTGAAGGAGCTGGGGTTGTTTAGCCTGGAGAAGAGGAGGCTCAGAGGTGACCTTATTGCTCTCTACACCTTCCTGAAGCGAGGCTGTAGACAGGTGGGTTTGGTCTCTTCCACTGGGCAGCACTGACAGAACCAGAGGACAGAGTCTCAAGCTATGCCAGGTATAGGCTGGATATTAGGAAAAATTTTTTCACTGAAAGAATAATAAAGTACTGGAATGCTCTTCCCAGAGAGATGGTGGAATCACCACCTCTGGAAGTGCTTAAAAAAAGGCTGGACACGGCACTTGGTGCTGTAGTCTAGATTCTGAGTTCAGGTGTTAAGGCACAGGTTGGACTTGATGATTTTAGAGGTCTCTCCCAGCCTCATTATTCTGTGATTCTGCTTCACCCTTTCACACTGCAGAATTCACAACTACTGCAGGAGTTATTTGCTCCCAGCCCATGCCAGCCAGCCTCGGCTGTGGTAAGGCAGCAAAAAGGCATTAACCCTGCTCTCTGCTAGGAAACAAAGTCTCCCACTCATTCCCGAGAAAAGTTAAAGGTACTCATTTCTGAGGGACTTGTGGGGTGGGCAGACACAGCGCAGCTCTCCCAAGATAGCTCAGAAATAACCTGGGAGGATCCCAGATGAAGGCTGGGTGTCTTCTTACATCTGTCTGGTTTCCGAGATGGAGTGTAAACAGTGGCACATTAGCTCAGATTAATTACAGGCTGCCGGTATTTTGCTTTCATGTAGCGAGCTCTGGGAACATAACACCACTGATAATTAAATAGCGCCTGCCATCAAAGGGCTCCAAACCACCCAGCAAAGCAGGCAGGCAGCTCAGGCAGGGCTGCTGGGGTGGCACTCAGCAGCAGCTTAGCAGGACACAGGAACACAGCACGCTTGTTTAGGAAATGAGAGATTTCTACTGCAACTACAGAAGGAATTATCACGTGTTTTACATTAAGTACTGTACAGTCAGACCTGAGCAGGATCAGCATCAGTGCCAGGATGATCCATTTACACACAAAGTTTTATATCCCATGAGAAAGATAGTTTCTCCCATGATAAGACTCCCTGCTTGCTTTCTTTTTTTTTTTTTTTTTTTTTTTTTTTCCTGGAACAATGGCTCATTAATGACTGAAGAATAAAAAAAGTTATGCCCCGCTTTGTTTTCTGCAGGATGAGAAAAAGCAGAGAAAAACGCATGGAGTGGAGTTAATTTTCTATGTCACCACATCCCCTCCTTCCACACACGCCACTGCCCACTGCTTATGTGATTTTGTGCCAGGCTCGCCAGGGTAGCAGTGTCAATATTGGGGTGGATGATCAAACCTTCCTTCTCTTGTGCCATATCCCATCTGGGTTACCACATCCCTATTCATTTCCTTTTCTGTCCCTGCTTTTTCCAGACTCAAAGCTGCTTTTCTGTTCTTGCCCCATCCCCTTGAATCAATGCCCACCAAGGTCAGGGAAGACCATGGGCAGCTGGGATGGCTGAATAAATTGCTCCCCAAACCAGCAGCCCTGAACCCATCTGATGTTCTCTTAAAGACACCAAAATGAGAGGTCCATGTGGAAGCCAAATGGAGAGCAGGGGTTGCTAGGACATAGCTTTATGCTCTCACTTGGAACAAGGGGCAGAACCAGTGGAGGGTGCAGGTTTTTCCTGCCCACCACAGCTGCTGGCACTGCCTTGCAGAGAGGACTGGGAACCTGCAGCTCAGGCACCCAGCATCCCAAGATCAGCTGCCCTTTGCAGGCAGGACCTAGGGACTGGGGACATCAACATACTGAAATACACATCACATCCCTTTAGTATTCCCAGAGTAACACAGAAACTCCAGCTGGAGCATCAACAACACTACTGAAGGGCAAAAACCTTGCTCTGTCCTCATGAGCCCAGGATTATCACTGGGTTTCACACAGCCTGCCCTCTGTGTAGGGACAGTGACTGATTCAGCAAATTTCACCTTCCCCAGACTTCAGGCAAGGCCACAGATGCTCTCCAAACCCACTTGGGCTGCAGCCTGCCCACTGACATGGGACAGCCAAAATGCCTGGGCAGGAGGAGATCCACAGCAATGACAGCCACAGGGAAAAGGGCTTGAGGCGAAAGTAGGAGAGGAGCAAACTTCACACAGGAGCAACACTGATTTTTGAATGGTTAATTGCATGTTGCTGTGGTTTAGTTAATAATCTGAAGTGAGACACACACTGCCATGTCGCACCTCCTCACCTAACAGAGGCATCTTTTTGACACATCATGCAGACTGCCATTGTCACATAATGGTTGAATAAAAAGCCTTCAATATTAAAAGCCATGAGTATTAAGTCTGCACCCACAGCATTTGAAACAGCAGCTGGAACACACTGTAAGGCACCAAGCAATAAAGTACAAGAAACTCAAGGAGACAGAAAGCTACCAAACTTCTACAATATCTGCCAGTATTGATCAATTACTTACCACCTTCCTATGAACCATGGACAGCCAAAACGCAGGACCAGACAGAGAGCCCACAAATGAAGGTAAAGAGAAGTACTTCTCTGCTTTCTCACACTCCTGAGTAACAAGAGAGGATAAACTACACTTGGGCTGGCTTAAATGGCAATTGTAATCATTTGCACTCTGAGCTGCTCACAGCTATCAGTGCCCAGGTAAAGCCCACTAAGGAAAGGAGCCAATCAGGCTTACCAGAAGTCACAGAGGCTGGGTTAACCCCATAAACCTCAGTTCCCAGCCCTCACCCTCACAACTGAATCCTCCAAGTGAAATCTGGAAGCCTTCACTGCCATTAGCATGAAGTTTGACCCTTCCAGAGCCTTTGGATCTCTCACTTTAGACCAGGATCCTGGAGTGCCACGAGCTCTATGCCAGCAAAGCTGGGTGGCTTTGGTCTGCAACATGTGGCTTGTGCTGCAGGAGTATTCAGGGGCCCCAATGTGCTAGGCACTACACAGACAGAAATTAATTCCCATAGTTACTGTCCTCCTAGATAAATGTAAAATCTTATACTGAAGAGTTTTCTCACCTCCTTTTTCAGCAGGACACTCATACAGCAATACTGGCATTCCTCTCATTTACAGTGGCATAAGGGAGACGACTGAAAAACATATTCAGCTGCCAGAGATGTGACTGCAGCATGTCAGATGTGCAGGCAAGTGACCCTGGAGAGTTCATGGAAAAAGAGCAGGGCTTTCCACCCACTCGTTTGCCTGACTATGTCCCCCAGAGCCCCAGCAGATTTATGTCACCATGCAGCCACAGTGCCCTGCTGCTGTTACTCAGATGTGGCAGAGACCACAGCGATCTCAGGTGGGCTGTGTCCACCCCTTGGCACTTCCACACCCCAGGAATATCTTCCTTTCACCTGAAATCACTCCCACTGCTCTAGCAGAAAGAGCAGGGGAAGACAAGCCAAAAAGCAGAACTAGAAATTGCAAAACCCAAGCCATCTTTAGTCACCAAGCTGCATCTGTTCCTCACACATTTTGTGGAAGGCTACATTTCTACTCCACCACCAGTGAAAGCCCAAGGTCTCCAGCTGTCAGTGTGCTGCCAGTGCTGGGGTTCTTTCTGATATATTTAGAGCCCACAGCATCACACCAGCTCCTCTGCTCATTAAGCCATGATATTTGAGCTATGACTTTCATTGCTGCTTTCAAGGTAATCTATCTGAACAACCTCTCAGACTGTAAATCTGGTTGCTGAGCAAGAAAAATATGGGTGCTCCAATGTGACTTTGTCACTGCAATGAGCTTGGCTTTTTATTTAGAGAGCAGGTTTTATGTCTGTCTTGCAAGGACAAGCTCCTGATCAAGACTAAAAGTCTGGGTGAGACAACTGACCAATGCATCTGACCCAAGGCTGAAAATAAAAGCTGGCTTCCCACCTTAGTTTCCAAGTAAACTCCACCAAATGACGCAGCACCCCATACTGCATTTCACAGGCAGTACAGATATATTTAGCCCAGTATGCCCCTCCCAAGGCACAGTGTGGGGCACAACTGGCTGAGCAGAATCCAGGCAGGACACAGGGAAACAAACCAGGCAAACCATCCTCTCCTACTCAGTAGCACAGCTCTTGTTCACTTGCTTTGTTTGACATAAACAAATAAATAAAGCCCCAAAACAAGGAAACCTCACAAGAGAGTTTTATTTTCAGGTCAGGCAGCAAATCCAACAGTTGTAATTATGTCCTGGAAATTAGCAGTTTAACTTATTTGTGTTGTTGGGTGTTCTTTGCATTTCCATCTGAGAGTCAGACAAAACCAGCATCTACCCTTTCCCCAGAGGCTTGTGAGAGAAAATGGTGCAAACACCACACAAGCAGCAGTACATGTGAACGTGGAATCTCCTTCCATGGATGTGAAACAGGGAAAACCAGCCACCTGAACAGTGATACTTGGGTGCCTGAAGGAGCACACTGGTTGCTTTTGGGATCTAGAAAAGTGCCCGAGGGAGAGGAATTTCAGTGGTGTATAGACAACAAACTTGCAAATGTCTTGGTGTATTTCAGAAGACACCTCCCCTGCAAGATGCTTTCCAGGGGATCACCCCAGGGCTGAGGGAGGGTTAGAAAATAAATGTAGCTCTAGGAAGCTGAGTTTTTGCCCTGAGGGCCCTGGGAAATGATCTCCTCCTCAGCCTCCATCAAATCAGATAACAAACAAGCTGAATTATTGTGATTAGAATGATAGAAGGCAGTAGCTGCTCAGAAGCATCCACCAGGCAGGGTTTTGGCACCAGCTGGTTGTACAAGGTGACGAACCAGAGATGTTTCCAGCCAGAAAGCTACAAGAGGCTGTCTGCCTTCTCCAGAAGGGCTCTCTGCCACACAGGAACACGGGGCATCTTCTTGGCTTCCATGTGGGGCAATCTCCTGGCCTCAGCTGAAGAAATTACACACTGAAGTCTTAGGCATAAAAGACTTTTCAAATCAGGAAGATGATCCATTGCATACTAGAAATTAATCAAGAAATCACAGCAAAACATGGAGTTGTGTGAACAGGAGGATCCTGTCAAGACCCCGGGCTGCAGCTCTGCCTAACAGGGCTGGCTTTAGTTCAAGTCTTTGGGAAACTCTCACTCCAAAGGATGAACCTTCAGTTCCAAGCTGGCCCAAGCAGAGCGTGACTCCTGAAGGAGCCCTCAGTGCAAAACACAAAACCACTTCTCTTATCATTCTCCTCATCCCCAAAAGGGAGGCAAGGTGGAGTCAGGGAAGATTTGTGGCCATGATAAGACTTTAATGTCTGAGTAACACTGCAAGCACAGAGACTTTTGGTTTCTCAGACTTGCACTACCTCATCCTCTCCTGTGACAATTTAAGAGGCTGACTGGAGTGGCTGTCTCCCAGACTTCCACTCCTTTCCCCTAAAGTGTGCTCTCTTCAGGCCTTATACTCGCGTCCTTCCCTCAGCCAAGAGAGGCCAAGCACAGCATTTTGCTCATGTTATTGCTGCCCCAGACAGCCAGGAGAGGAGACTATTATTTAAAGATGTGCAGAGTGAGACTGGGACATGATTGTAGTTACTGACCCCTGGGCACCCTAAGCAGAGGACCACAATGTGCTGAGATGTGAATAACCCTCCTCCTGCAGGAGAGCTGAAGAAACCTCTTTTTCTTACCAGACTTTTTAAGAAGCAATAAAATATTTTTCTCTAATTAGAGGTCGAAATATTGTTTTTCAAAACTCCTGCAAGTCATTCCTATCCTACAGGTTGTGTTTGTATCACTGACAATGTCTGTTACCCAAACACAGAGGAATGACAGGCACAGCTTCTTATCTCTGGCTGGGTGTGTGCAATGCTTGGAACCAAATTTATGATGCAAATATTTGAAGTTAAGTTTTCAAAATTCAGGTCTCTTCAGTAGTTCCTGCTTTAGCACACTACCACTGTATCCATAATGAAAATCACTTGTTAAAATACAAAGAGCACAGTAAGCTCTTCAAACACAACCAAACATCACTCTTCCTCTAAATACTGGCCAAAAAGGTTAAATACTCACCTAGCTCATCACTGTTCCAGTGATGTAATGCTTGTAACAGCCCTGCCATACACAGGAGAGGTTTCTGTGAGAACCAGCCTTTTCTCCTCCAGGAACAAATCTCCCCCTCGTTTAGATTAATTGATTTCACACATAGTTGTTTATGTGTGTGGCCTCCCTTGATTTTCTGAGCTCTCCTCACTCCAAACAAAACAGCTTAGGGATGTAGATGGAGCCAACTGCATCTGGGAAGAGGGGAGATAACACCTCAAAGCCAGACAGAAAAGGACATTGCTTGCTTCAGAGGCTTTTCTCTGGATGACACTTTGAGGCAGCCTGACAAAAGCATGCTTTGGGGAACACCATAAAACTGCTTCAGAGACACACTGCACAGAGCCCGGCAGGAAAAACCTCCCCACAATGGTGGCAAGGGGAAAAGGAACTTCTGAGGAGAAAGATATATGGCAAGCTGTGAGACTGCAAACAATAGATGAACCAGAAACTGTCTTAAATTTTAAAACATCCTGATTTCATATAACAGCTTGTAGCTAGACTGGGAGAGCACCAGGATCCTCATTTGTGCATGGAACATGTACCAGGCAGCTGTGCAGCACACTACCAAACGCTGGTTCAGAGGGAAAATTTATCTTTGGAAAGAAATCTGGGCATTAATTTGAAAGCACAACACAGAGCAAGAAAGATTAACAGCCCTCAGCCTCTCCAGCCATGTGGATACACCACGGGTTCAATCTGCACTGAATTACAAGTCATCACTGACAAAGTATTGAAGTAGCCAGCCAGCAAAACCAGTGGAAATACACTTTTGTGGATCTGGTCAGAGAATAGAATCTCAGCTCCCCAAGAAGGGCTGGGATTTCAGCATTTCCCTGCATCCCAAATAGAGATGAAAGGTCAAAACATTACACTATTACATGGTATGAACAATTCCAAATGCTCTTGATTTGAAAATGCAGGGGTAGGAAGGAAGATATTATTGGTAGAAACAAAACATTCAAAATGTTTTAGCAGAATTTTCTCTGTCTACCAGCACTGTACAAATGTATGGGCCCTGGAATCCTGTCTTCCATTTTCATCCCTGCTGTGCAAAAAAAAAAAAAAAGTGGACAGGCTGGAGAGGGTCCAGAGAAGGGCCACAAAGATGGCAAAAGGAGTGGAAAGCCTGCCAGTGAGGAGAAGCTGAGAGAAGAGGGGCTTGAGAAGAGAAGGCTTAGGGGTGATCTTATCACCATCTTCCAGTATTTAAACGGTGGCTACAAAGAAAATGGAGACTCCCTTCTTACAAGGAGCCACATGGAAAAGATACAGGGTAATGGGTTACTCCTGGGGAGACTCCAACTGGACAGAAATGGAAAATTTTACACAATGGAAACAATCAGCCTTTGGAATAATCTCCCTGGGGAAATGGTGGATTCCCCAACACTGGACACTTTCAAGATTCGCTGGACACTGTGCTGGGCCATCTTGTTCAGACTGTGCTTTTGCCAAGAAGGGCTGGATCAGATGATCCTTTATGTCCCTTCCAGCCTGTGATTCTGTGAAAATGAAATGTTG